TTCAATCCATTGCGCAGTTATTTCAACAAGAATAGTTAGTGCGGAAATGGATTTGCATAATGATACATTTGATACTATCATACAGGAATATCTTCATTTCAAGACTGTACTTTCGTTGTTGTTTTAAATATTTTCAAAACCGTATTTAGCAGTTGGTACATGAGCACTTTTTTTAAATACTTAAATGCAATAAACTATTTGATTTACTTTTTTTGAAATACATTTTTCACTGGGAAGATCCAATCAGAAACCGCCGAAGACTAATTGCTCACAATTTCATACGACGAATTATTCAAATAAAGCATCGTTTATCATTTTTGATTGTGGAGTATGGGTGCTTGTTTGTTCTTTTACTGAACTCAGTGAATATTCAGTTTTCATTAATGCTTGCAATTAGGTTCTAGCTCGTACACGGGAAAAAAGTGAGCATACAGCGCATCTGCCATACAGCGATAATGTTATCTTTTACACACTGCGTGAGTCACATCGCACAGTTTTTGGTTTGGCTCTATCTCTTGTGTCCCGTTCCACCGAACTGGATAACAGAAAACAGAAAATAAAGAATAAATGGCGTTTTATCTTTGCTATTATCATTCTGGCAAAGAGGAAAACTGATAACAAACATTTGTTGGTATGCTGGTGTGTATGTATTGCTATTCCTGTGCGCTCTATAGGAAAAACAACAGTGTCAACGAAATCAAATTGAGCGCGATTTTTTTCTCTTTCTGTCTCCTGGAGCAAATACGTGTCGCAAATCGGGAGATGGATAACACAGAATGATATTGCACACCAACAAATATGTACATGCATAAGCGATAAGAGTGGTTCATATTTAAATAGGGGATCACTATAAAAAAAAATATTGTTATTGTTGAATCTCTATCTGTGTAAGTTGTAAGAGTGAGACAGTATGAACGTTAGCTGCTCTCGTTGAATTGACATCCACTCCAGACGATTTTTCAGGTTTGTCTGCATTTGCGATATGCGTGTGAATGGTATACGTGTGCAAGAGAACTGATAGTATATCCGGCATTTGGGAGAGAAAATATGGAAATGAAGGGATGTTAGATAATCAAATTGAGAGAGAGAGAGAGTTACAGAGCTCGAAAAATATGCATGAATATTTGCGATGTTGATTAAACGAACACCAGCATTCAATGAAAATTGAAACAAACACCACTAGAGATAGCATTAGAATTGAATGTCTGGTAAGACTATTTTAAATTGTGTGGAAATGAAAAGAATTGATTTTTTATTTTTAAGCAAAAATCACTAATGGTCAAGAGAGATGGCGCAAAAAAATTATTGCCAAATTAATCAATTCGTCGATAAAAATCGTAACATAACAAACCACTATGATCTTTCTCTTTTCATTTGGTCCAATATATGTTTGAGTGTGATTGTGACTTTGTGTGCGTTGCTATTCACGAGCTTTCATGATCGGAATACTTAAATCAGTAGTATGGAAATGTCTTGCCAAAATGATAGTTAACATGCATAAACATACATACGAATGTTCTTTTTGAACGACCGAACGTTTTTGTGCCATTTCGGTGAGTTTCTCATTGATTTAACATTGTACTTTGTCACTCGTTGAATCGTTGCTCAAGGCACAAGAGCAAAAAAAAAAACGAAATGCGGCAAAGTAAACTACCGCTGCTACTGCGAATAGAGTGTGCAAAAGTGCCAAGAAAGGAAGGGGAAAAAAACAACGTTTTGTGATGTATTCGATATTCAAACTTATCACATTTTGGTGCTGTTGTGTGAAATGCGTAAGCTAGGCAGTCAGTTTGCATCTATTGAAATGTCAATTGTAATCCATTGTGTGCATCGCACAAGCATGGAAAAGAAGAGCGGCATGTAGTTCTGTTTGTTATTCGCTTTGTTTGTGTGAATCATCATCAAAAGTTCTTTTTGACGCACCGACAATTAGCATTGATTCGATAGCGTATGCGATACCAAATAGTTCGGTCTCCAATCGTATACAAGACAAAGATGGAAGCCGTTTGCTCTTTGCTTTCTTTTATAAACTGTAAAATAATCTTCGAATCGAATCGCAGAAACGGATTGTGTGCGGCAAAAAATGTCAAGTGAGGTGCAGCGAGAATGTGAATGTTAAAGGCACTATCGCCAAGAAGCGCACGCAAACACGCATAAAACAACAATAAGAACGAAATACCAAATAATGTCAATTGTGTTCAATTTGTATCGATCGAACAATTTGCATTTCACAGATTTTTTTCGCTTCCGCTTTGTTCTGTTTGATTATGGATTTGCACTTTTTTGGGTCCGTGAATATATGTGCACATCGTAAATAATAATATTTTGATAGATAAATGGAATGGACAAAAGGACTCTAAGCATTTCGGTGGAATTGATGAAATAAAATCTAAAAGTAATATTCATTGCCACAGCCAATCCAATTACAAGTTCGATATAATCGTGTTCTTATACATATATATATATATATATTTTTCATGGAAAAATCGATTCAGTGCAATCGTTTTAATGCTTTCAAGTAAATTGACACAAGTCGTGTCTTCTCATTTTCCACAGCTAAACTGTACTATTAGAGATCTTATCAAGTTACAGAAATACATAAACGAATGAACAAGACGACGATGAAAAAAAACTATTCCGATCATGTTAACATTGTACTTGTTTCTCAATGCCTCACAAATGAGCAGAAAAAAATTAACTTGGAACACGCGATAAAACAGATAGGCTTCATGCTTTGCAATGTTGTCGATTGATCTGAAGTGACAAACGCTCGATTCCTTCTTACCACAAACTTATTTGAAAGCATATTCAAAATCATCAAGAGATTTCTCTTGACGACACATTTTGCGTCAATAGCACGGTTTCAATTACATTGAATTGGTTACAAGATTTTTACTTGTGAACTGGTATAGACAATTTGATCCTCAAAACCACCTCAACTCCAAATGAATTGAACACATGAAACAGTCTAAATATTCTGCATATTTCAGTTGCTCAATCTCACACGTTGAAATGGCATCACACGAGTGATGCATAAAGTTCAGAGATCGCTGACATCATATTGCATCAACGAGTATGGAAATGTGAAAGGAATCGTGTCCAACAAAAATACATGCCATTCGTGTTGTCTTGATCAGTGTGTTTTTGCTTTAAATTCTTGGAATATAAATTAGCAACGACACACTGCCGTTTATGGTCTTAATTAAGACATTCGTTACAATGAATATTCTTTGCTTCGACTGTTGAGCTGGCTGATTTCCTTTGATTGGCTTTTGGTTATGTCATTTGGCTTCGGTTATTTCGATGCTGCATTTCCCAACAACAACAAAAAAGTTCTTGTGCATAACAAAGTTCCATTTTTCGATGGAAACAAATCAATATTTTTTTATCTCAAATAGAGTGTACAAGTTGCATTGCATATGTATACGTATCAGAATCTAATAACGAAAGCACATGCAAATACGTGAATATTGAAAAATACCATTAGCTTGTTTAAATTTAAATGTAAAGTGAAAACGGAGACTTTTCCCTTGCTCTATGGGTATGTGCGAGAAAAAAAAATGACAACCGGAAACGATAAATTCTAAGCGAAAATCTAAAATTGATCTCCGTTCCAGTTCTTTGTGATGTTGTATAAGTGCTTATAAATTTTGTATATACCAAACAATTCTAATTTCCTCCCCTTCAATTTATATTGTCGTCTCAACTTTGTAGATGATGAACGAGAGATGGAAAGAGAGCGAGAGAAGAGGACCCGAATCAGAATGCAACAGAAAATTCTCGGAGAAAATACATTCAATTTCATAGCATATTTTCATACATTCATCGTTGTATTCCATCGTGCTTGTCCCTCATAACCTCTTTCTCGTTTTCGCTTCGCTTCTATGAAAGAAGAAATTATTTAAAATCCGATATGCAAAAAGTTCTGCTATTTTACCATAGACTTAGGACATTCACGTCTCGTTCATCTCATTCCATCAAGTATTTTTTCTTCGCTTCTCTTCATCATTGCACATTCAGTACGAACAATTTGCATACAGCAAACATGCCAATACATTTAAAATGTGTATCGGTTTTGTTGTTTGTGTAATAATACATTTTCATTTCTGCAAGTTGTGTGTTGTATGATCTTTCTCGTACGGCTTTTCTCTTTGGCCTTTTTCTATCGTCTCTTGATTTGGCGAATGGGGTGGCATTGGTTCGCAAACCCATACAATTACTTATGTGCGAGCGTATGTACGGGTATGAAGTAAGCGATAGAAAAATAATCTTTGAAATTTATGCGAGCCAGAAAATAATTTAAAGATTTTGAGCTTTCGATATCGGCGGATGAATGCAAAATATGTTTATAAATTGGAGCTTCAACTCGTTATATGTTTTATGTAAATTTCGATATAAGCGAATTAAAATCATGACATAATCTATTGCGCTCTCGTAAACATTGCGCTGCTATCCATTTTATAAAGAACATCGACGAAGCAATTTCATTCTATATAATCTAGTTCGACAAATGATACGTTGAATTCCAACACATCCGTTGCTCATAAACGCTTTCAAGACTTTTCTTTCATATAATAAGCAAATTTGTGTTTGTAAATTTTATTTCATTGTTAAATTGAACGGTTAAATCAAAAGCAAATTAAGAAGTTATTAACAATAATTGCACAGAATTTGAGCACTTTCCAAAAACAATATTAAATAGTAAACATAATTTGAATCGAAACCACTTTTATTGAATTGCACAAGGGACTCTTGTTGAAGAATTCAGTGCATCTCTGTTCAGACTTTCAGATAGCATTCAAATCTGATGTATTCTACGTAAATATTTCGTTGCATTTTTTGAGATACTTAAATTGCGCTCAAGCATTTTTATTACGACACTAAGTTTTACGGCATCCATAAATATTTCAATAAATAACAATAATGTATAGTATCGAAAGCACTATGGTGTGAAAAATATTGAATAAATGGTTTCTGTTCATTCTTTTTTTCTTACATAGATCCAGAAAGCATTTCAACCGAAATAGACGACGAACAGAGTACAGTGGCCAGCGACGATAACACATTAGCGCGGTCACAATCAATTAGCGAAAGTGATAAAAAAGATACGCCTGCGAATGATGCATCGCCATTATCATTAGAAACGAGTTCGCACAGCAGCACTCCTGCCACATCGACAACACCCATTGCATCACCAAACTTACCGATCGATATAAAAATTGAGACGAAAACCACTGGCTCAACTGAATTGAATAGTACCAATATTGAACTACCAAAATTGCGATTGAATATAACGCTTGCATCGGATCCAGCATTGCAGCCAGAAGCAAAAGATATACAAAGTATACGAGCGAATACGGTTGAAAATTACGAAACTGAATCAAACTGTGATGATGAAATACAAGAAGATTCCATATCACCGCCCATACTTTTGCACGAAGATAATGGACCACCACCTGAAAAGATTCGTAGACGACATGATTCAACGTTTCGGCCATCTGGAAATAAATTTGTTGTTAATTTGCAACAAAACATTAACCCAGCCGACATCCTTCCACGAGTGCCAGCATTCATTTGTCAACCGTGTGGCATTAAATTCTCATCCATTTCAACACTGGAGGCTCATCAAACATTCTACTGCACTCACAAGTAAATCAAATTTGTTTTTATCATTGTTTATGATTGATGGATTCAAATAAATCCAACGAAATCTCAAAAATGAAAAATCAATTCCAAAAATCTATTCTTTTTACTAATCGAATCGGGTATTTATATTTTTTTTTCTCTGTCTCATCACGCAGCAAAAAAGATACCGAAGACTCGAATAATCCACTGAAAGTGATATTAGTCGATGACGGCAGCAGCACTGAATCAGCAACAAAAACTGTTCGCACCACCAAACAATATGGATGTAATCAATGCTCGTATAGTGCTGATAAGAAAGTTTCATTAAATCGTCACATGCGAATGCATCAAACATCACCAACCTCCAGTTCGGTCACATCGAATGGTGATGATTGTTCTAGTCAAGTAAAAATTACTTTTTTTTATTTATACAAATATTATTTTTAACATTCATTTCATATGAATTGAATCGCATATATACATCAATGCTATTACACGTATGATGAAAAAAAATGAAGGACTTTTTATTTTTATTCTATGTTGAAAAACAATTTATTCAGATTCAACCATCTCTACAGCAACCACAACAACCAATACAGTTGCATCAAGTCGACCGATACTGTACGGATTGTGACATTCGATTTTCAAATACAAAAACATTTCGTGCTCACAAAGAATTTTATTGTGGTAATAGACATCGAGATGGGTAAGTTTTGATTGTAAATTACAAATTGTAATCACAATTTTAAAATCAATTCACATTATTTTTGTTACATTAGTTTTATCGCTATTTTAAACGATTTCATGTTTATCTTATGTAGACCGGGTCCACCCACTTCTTCTACAAAAAACGTCACCCAAAAAACCGTTCAACCGAAAACCACGGAGGAGAATAACAAATTTCCAGAAACGATCGGACCAACTCAACCCTTTTTGGCACTACCTACAACGCCCATTATTATCATACCATATTCTTTGATTCGAGGAGCAAATGTATTGCCAGGACCTTTGTAAGTTTTTTCAAAAAATGATAATGGTCAGTCCTGATGGAATGAAATATTCTGATCATTTCCGCCTATTTTATCTATTTTAGGAGTGTATCGGCTGGAATAGCGAATCCCGATTTGAATTGTTATGTTTTGCAAAATGGATCATTGCAACCAATAGCTCAAGCCATTTCAGTACCAAGTGTAAGTAAGGGGCAATCGACAAGACCACAAACACCCGTCGCCAAGACATCGACACAACCAAGCGATTCAGAAGTTAGTCCAAATCATCTAGAAACAACATCGAAAGTTGCTAAACGAAACACAAATAGCCGGTAAAATAAAAAATAAAAAATATAAATATGGCAATTGTGCTGTTGTCATTTTAAAAATACATTCAGCGATATAATTATGTTGTTGTTTCTTTGTCATTCATTTAATCTGAACCTCATTTCATTTATCGCCAGAGAGGGAAATACAACGCCATTGGACTTATCGGTACGACGGTTATCTGTCGACCGTTCGTATAGAGAACGTTCGGCATCAATTTCATCTTCTATATCGGGTGACTTACAGCGAACAAATATTGATGCTCTAAATGATGGCAAAGAGAACCTATTACTAAACAGCAGTAACTCTGCATCGCCGGAGCAAATTGTTTGTGCACCATCATTGCCCGGATCTCCACCCCCATTGACTCCATCACCAAAACGTAGCTCGAGCAGTCCACGTGGTATTCTAACGCTGTCACCAAGCTCTCTTGCTTCTAGTCTTCATTTGAATCAACCAAATGCGCAGACAGCTTCAACTATTCTTCGACCATTATTGGTCAATGAATTAACGGCACGTATGGCTGATTCGAATTCGGTTGCTGCAGTTTTAAATTCTTCAGCACAGCACTTGCTTGATGGTCAAAACTTCGATTTAGCTCTAAATATCGCAACAAATGTAAACAATGTTCCGTTACCAATTGCAAAAACAACATCACCAATTGCAGTAGCGGCTGGCATTACAAAAAAACAAATTGTTGGTGCATCAACCGCATTGCCGCTGGTTCAACCACAAATTTTTGTAAAGCAAGGTGTATCAAAATGCAAAGAGTGTAACATTGTGTTTTGCAAATATGAAAACTATTTGGCACATAAAAAACACTACTGTTCGTCAAGAAATATTGAAGAAAATACAGAAGGAAAAGTAAAACCAAGTCCACCCACATCCCCACTGGCAGCAGCGAATCAAACTGGAAACTCGGCTGGAACAATACACGGTGCATATCAACAATTAATTTGTGCGGCTTGTGGAATTAAATTTACATCACTTGACAATTTAAAGGCGCACCAAACATATTACTGCACAAAAAGAATTGAAGTTCCAGCGGTAAGTGTGATACATTTTATCTATCAATCAGATTAAATAAATTGTTCGTGTGTAACAGTGTGTAATTATTATTAATTCGATAGGTGGTCAAGGATAAATGTACCAAATGCAAAATGTTCCATGATGCATCGCAAACGTGCGCTACTACGAATCAGAATCTTTTTAAATGCCCTGTGTGTGATGTGGTCAGTGCAAATTCAACTGAATCTCGTAAGCATTTAGAAACGCACGCTGGTGTCAAAGCATTTAGATGCACAATCTGTGGATACAAAGGCAATACATTGCGGTAAGTATTAGTTAGATTATTAGTTAAAGTCAAAAAAATTTACAATATGTATGTATTATTATGTATACAGTGGAATGCGCACACATATTCGAATGCATTTCGATAAAAAGACAAACGATTTCAATGAAGAAAATTACATATCATGTACCTTGGATGACGAAAATGCTGAAGCTGCTGCAACTATATTACCTTCACCTACACTATTGAATCAAGCTGCATCACCTGAGAATGCTCAGCCAGCGACCACAGCTGCTATCGCACAAACATATCACTGTGAAAAATGCACCTACACATCAATATCTAAGGGAAATTTGGTATGTACAGTATTTGTACTTTAGAGTAACTCATATTTGGGCAAGGAACTAAACTAATATCTCACAATTTCAGATTCGACACATAAAAATTGCACACTCAACTGATGAACAAATTCCGTCGTCTATAATTTCGTCTCCTTTAATTGGGGAAGGTGACGAGAGCTTATTGTGCGATGCTGAAACTGATACACAAAATTCAGCTAGGTATATACCTACATTTGTTAAATAAATATTCATAAATAAATGCCATATACCATTGTTATAGCTTGTCATTAACCGATGAAAACTATTTTATAGAGTAATTGTGAAAACGGAACCATCAGAATCAAAATCTTCGGATCGATCACCAATTCTTATTCCAGAATCAAATGATATTGTCATGAATACCATAAAAATTGAGAATGTCGAAATCTCGGACAACGAAGATGACGAAAAGAGTTCCGATATCGCCGATTCTGATTCGGCTCGAACATTCCAAAGAAGTTCACACGTAACGAGAACACTTTTAAGTGGTGTAACAACAGCCAATTCAATTTCATTAAATGCATCCACATCTGGAGACGACAATAAATATTGTCATGTTTGCGACATCAAGTTTAAGTATATGAGTTCATATATTGCTCATAAAAAATCGTATTGCCGAAATGTTCCAAATGAATTGGATATTGGACCAGTCACACCAAATCCACCAAGATCGTCACCAAACCAGACATCAGTCGTTACATAAACAATGAGCGTTACATTTGTTTCATTTTCAATACACTTGTTTACCGAAAATCGTTACTTTGAAAATAATATTTGTTTGATGTTTAGTTTTCGTAGAAGATATGTAGGTTTTTAACTTTAAACAAATCAAATAATACACATGACATAAGAAACTATTAAACATGACGTTTACAGGAATAAAGAATGCGATTTATGCATTCCTAATTTAATCGTTACTAACACATAAAATGTATTCAGTATAGTCTATATATATAAGTCTATGTATCAATACACAAAAATCGAACGCATTCTTTCGTTGGCGTCAAAACGGTAAAAATTATTATTTTCTAAACACTAAGGAATTTCATATATGAGAGATGCATGTGATCCCATAATAAACTAAATACGAATTGATAGCTTAAATGCGCATTCATGTGGCGATTATTTAATGAAAAAATAAAAATAAAATGATACCGGAACAATCGACTGAACCTAACACATAATTATAAAAACTAAATAAGAATTATCTACTTGATTCAAATTCGGCACATTTAAACCATATATCACTAAAGGTAGTGTGTATCCGTTCCAAGATCCACAATACTCTGCATCATCATTTTCAATTTCTTGTTAGAAATAATCAATGAAATAAATTCTTGATTCAAAGTTCAAGAGAATTTAAATTGAAATATATTAGTAAAAAGATCTCATTTCATAAATTTGGCCATGCGAATAGTGACGAACGAAATGCAGTAATACCCATTTCTCTACTTAAAAAAACACTTTCAATTTATTTTCGTTTTTTTAAATATGGCATAGCCATAATATTTGCCAATGAAGAAAAATATCCAAGACTTTTTGCCATATTTGAAATAAATTTGTAACTTTGCATAAGAGCTAAAAGCATTCTAATCCAAATATAAATCGATATGCATTTATGACAATTGTCATTCAAGCCAAATCGGATACCGACATGGCAATTTTACATTTAGATTAGCATTTGACATTATACAAATAATCGATCTTGAAATAATCACACTGGAGAGTTAGAAATAAAAGGCAGAATAGCCAGAAGTTGGAGGTAGACGATAATCAAAATAAAAACGAGAAAGATTCTTATTATACATGTATGTATTTATAATCATAATTAGTTTTGAATGCAAAAAGAAATTGACAATAAATAATTTAATAATACCACATTGAATTATATTCATGTTTTTCTTCATTTTCTAACACGGATAATACAGGAAGTTTTCATTTCGTATTGCAAACAATTAAAACTTGTTTTTTTTTTAAACTGAAAATACACAAATTAATTCGTTCTTATTTATCATCCGGAAATAATATTTACATATGGCTAAACATTGGCTAAAACTAAAGTAGCCTTCATTCATAGATTCTGGCGTCCTGAGTTTTAGGGGGGGTAATTTAAAAAAAAAATTCGAAAAATCTTGGTGGATAATTTCTGGGGGGTTATTTCAATTAAATACATTTTTATGTCGCGATTGGCACCAATCGAATGGTAAGTTGAGCTTACTTTAAGACGTTTCCAACGGAAATGCATATGCCCAGTGTATGTCAAGTATAGGTCCCACCGCGATTGTAAGAAAAAATGACCACTTTTATCACTTTTAGATTTTGCGACGTATAAAAATAAAAATTTATTGTAGAAAAAGCTATTATTTGGTGGTTCAATAAGTCTTTGGCCTGACAACCAGGTCGTGTCACTAATAAAAAATCTCTTTATTTTTTAAAAGTACCATCTGTCTCTAGACTACTGGAAAAATTTCAGACGAATCCGTTCACGGACCTATAAGTTACAGCGCTTGAAAGAGACCAACCTCTATGGAAAAAAAAAAGAATTCGATTTTTTAAATCAACAACAATTTTTGTAAGACAAATCTATCAGCAAAGCTTAAACTAAGCTTGGTGATATTGTTCAGACTCTCTTCTATCTACTGGAGCTAGTAAGAAGTTCTATATTACTTTTGCATGTGGTAATACAGGCAACGGAAAACAACTACCCCAAAAATGTCTCTTTTTGAAGAAATGATTAAAAAAATCCAAGATCTTGCTTTGAGGGTCTGCAATATCCTAGTGAATAATCCAGAATAGATCCGAAGCATCACGTGGAACAGAACATTTCGATATATCAGTCCAACATTTGTGCAAGAAAACTTCACTTGAACGGAGGCTGCCGCATTTGTTCACAATGGTTTTGAATGGTAGTTTTATTGCGATGTTTTAAGCATTCTATGCACAAATAATGTAAATATTTTTGTTGATAATTAATTAGCAGTATCCTACAGAACCTATTCAATCCATTTTGGGATAAGGTATACTCTACACGGTCATCAAAAACCGATATGTCCGCAAAAAGCCATATAATCCCTTTTTTTGTTCGAGCTCGCGTTTTGTGGGACCGTGTCTTCGAAAATATTGTTTTATCAACTGAAATAAGTTGGAACGGTGCCAAATG